CTACTGGATAAGAATCCCTTTTTCAATTTAAAACAGCAACTGATTATGATAATAGATAGCAACAAAAATCCTATTGACAAATTGATGTCAAAATGACACCATCAACTCCCGAGTTCTAAAAATAAAAATGGGGCAATTCAAAATAAAGGAATTCTACTTCTTTCAAAGTAAACTTTTATACTAATATATAGGTACAAAGATTCAATGAGTAATCCTTTTCTCAAGTTTTCAAATTGTACGTAATTTCAATTTAGTGTGATTATAAAAAACAATCAGTTCCAGTTGTAGGAATTCTATTTAGGTATTTTACCTAGAGGAGAGGTAAAGGAAAACAACGGTTTGACCTCAAGGACACTGGTTGTGGTTTAAACATTTCCTTTACAAAGTTTTTCTTTTCTATTGTGAACTCTGAAATTTACAGTACCTTGAGGAGAAAATGTGGTGTTCTTTTCTACGCGTTCCTTCACTTCCAGGAAATCCTGCGGGTTGTTCGGCTTCTTTTTAATGCTGTTTGGGTCTGTTTTTGTAAGAATCTGGCCTTTCGCCCTTAATTTAGTTATAGCGGCTAACTAGAAAAAAAGAGAAGGCAATGAAAATCTAAAAGATGAGATAGGCATTTGTAGTTCTGTAACCCTTTCCAGATCTTAACCAATGAATTCTGGCTGCTCTTAAATATAAATTGGCAAACTATATCTTCATTTTACTTAGGATTAGTATAATTACTAAAATTTAAAAGCATGGGAGACAGGTCTGTAAATTAGTAAACAGTGGGCTAACATTGGATAATACAATTATGTAATTTTCAGGTGTACATTATAATTTAACATCTATATATTCTACTGTGTGATTATTGGGGTAACATTGGTTAATATAATTATATAATTTTCAGGTATAAGTTAGTAAATAAAACCTCAGCTTTTAAAATGTCAGTAGTTTAACATTAGCTTGTCTGTAGGCTTTTAGACCCATAGTAGAACTACATAAACATTTTGGAAGTTTGTTTTATAATTAGACAGAATTAAGATACAATTTCAGATCTGCCACTTACTACTTTGTAACTTTAGTTACTTAATTGTTCGGCCTCAGTTTCTACAATTATAAAATGGGGATGACAGCCTTACCTATCTTAGAGTGAATGAAATGAGACAATGCACAAAAAGTATGTACCTGGACATAGAAAATAGCATGTATGCATATATCACAGGCATAGAGTAACAGTAATGAAGATGCGCGATTATTATTACTGTAGGTACGGCATTGACTTGTAGCTAGCCTTTGCCTTGCATGTAGTTACAGCTGCTCCCAGAACAAAGTGAAGACAGTCTGACTTTGTTCAGGGTGACTCAGGAAGGGGAGTGGTGGAATATGCTGTGCTGAGCAGGTGGGACTCTGAGCACCCCCAACTCTCACTTCAATCAGAGCAACTCAGCTTTTATGTCTAAGGACTGGGATTCTGTGTAAGAGTTCTTTTAAAGAAGTTGTCTTTAAACCCATATTTTACAATCTTGCCTCAACAGCTCCCAGAATTTTTTCCCTAATGCCAGTGTCTCCAGTTGTAAAACAATACCTTCTCCTAGGCTATTTCCTTCAGCCTGACAAGAAACGGTGTTGAGATAACAGCTAGTTTTCTTAGATTAAATTAATAGCATTATGTTAACACCATTATCATTTAAAATCCCTTTGACTCTAATTATCATGATCAATAAATAGCTATTAGGTACCCATCGATACTAACATAAAGGTTGAAACTCCAGCTATGTTTTATGGAATGCAAATTCAAGCACTAAAGAAAGCAGATACCAGTTACCTTTTTGGCTTCTGCTAAAGCACTTAGTTTTGGTTTTGGAGGCGGTGACTCATCAAAAAAGAGAACATCAGCTCCTTCTGAGATGCCTCGCCCCAGTTTGGGCGCTTGTGTGGCTGGGGTTTCTCTTAGCCTGGGGAATTCAGCCCCCGTTGCTGGAGACCGAGAAGGGGGCTGTTGAGAAGACGATGGCACAGCTGGGCTCGTGAGCTCATTTGAGCTCTGCAGAGATCTTTAAAGAAATAGGTAGTCACAAACTATGTAAGCACAAAACACACAGACTGAGAGATATAGGAAGGTCACCAGCGAACAAGTAGTTGTTAGTAAAAAATTTCCCTTCCTTGGGTAATAAATTCAGATTAGCACACAAGAAGAATGCTAGCTTCAGTAACTCTTCAGTTGACTGATTTTTCATTAAAAAAGCTCTGTTTTACCAATTTAGAACTGATTACTATTTTTATCAATTGGCTTTCCAGTGGCTTTCCAGCGGGAGCTGTCTGTGGAACACGACCCTGGAGGTGAGCTGTGGATTGTATTCCCAGCCCTCTGGTTAGCCTAGGACCTTCGGGAACGCACCGAATCTCTTGGTATTTTAGTTTACTCTACTGGGAAGAGATAACTGCCGGTGATGCGCTTGGGCGCCCTTCACAGAAAGGTTCTATAATTCACAAGGTGACTATTTTATATACAGTTTTAAGGGCTATTTAAAAATAACAAATGTCAGAAATCATCTAACCCAAACCTTTCATCTATAGATGAAGAAATTGGGGCCTAAAACCCTATTGTTCATAGCGACAGGTTCAGACTAGCACCAGGTAATCCCAGGTCGATATTCTTTTCACTACCACATACCCACTCTTGCCAGCTCCAGGCTGAGTTTCCAAATTGCCTACTGTATCCTGCTCAAAGATATGTTTTACTTGGTCAGCAAAATTGTGAAAAACTATAAATTATAATGCCTTTAAATTGATAGGTGCTCCTTTATTTCCCACAAGGTCCACAACTCCATATACACTTTTATGACCATGTACGTATATTTATGGCACTTGATGAATACCTCTATAGACGGCCCATCAGCACCCCAGAGATCACTGCAAGGACTGAACAAGACACTACTAATGCAGCACATAGCACAGTGCAATACTGGGTAAGCACCTGTAGACAGCTCTTATTACTATTCAGATAACCTGAGCTGAAGAATCTTTGATTTGTTGACCTTCTGCATCTATTTCCACTTGATTTTGCCTCTAAAATGACTGTTTTCAGTGCCTCGGTTTTATCATTTATCTGAACTGCAAAATCTACTCACTGGCTCGGCCTGTAATTAAAAACCTAATAGTGGCAATACTAAGAAAAGGAACCAAACAGGTCACCATGAGCTTTCCCCTTTCACAAAACCCATTTCAGATGTCATTCTTTTCTCTTTTCTGCAGTGATATTAATTACTGTAACCGGTACCACTTGGTCTCAGGATTCACTAGCATAAGTCAGAACTATGTAACTTTATTTAGGTCATATTAAAATTATTTTAATACTTTTGAAGTTAAAAAGGTAGCCAGCCATCCAAAATCTAAAGTCACATTTGTGAATTCTATGGAGAATTCCTGAGATGAGCTACCCAAGTAGGCCATGTTAAATGTTACTCTTACCGTTTCTCTATTTCTTCTGATCTCTTTTTTTTCATCTCCAACATATGCTGTTTCTGTTGCTTCAAGAGGGCTGATGCTGAGATAGACTGGAACACAGGTTTCGGGCTCCCCATGATCCCTAAAACACAAGCCACAGAATGAGCGGGTTCTGCGAGGCCATGGGAACTCAGGTATGGATGTTAAGCAGGTACAAGCTGACTCTACCTGATGACTTGATTTTGGTCAAATGTTGTTTCAAGTTCCTGGCTCCAAACGTAGGCATGTCCATCAATTCCTTGAATTCCTCAGAGCAAGACAAGCTCTTCTGGGGTATTCCTGGAACACAGCAACATCAGCTTAAGAGGACCCAAAATTCAGATTGCTGGATGTCATGTGACTGATCACTTATTAAACTCTGCATTCATAACTTAGCTGTTTATAAATGAAGTAGATGGCACACAAATAGAAAAAAGACTCCTTAACCTCTAACGTCAGACCAGTAGGACTGCAAGGATATGACAGATACATCTTATTTTGAGTAATGATTAGAACATGAATACCTGTGGGGTCATTTCTGGAATATGCACTATGGGTAAGGACCTACGCTCGGCCTTGACTGCTCTTATAAATAAAGCCTCAAGTGTAGGGTAAAAGCAGCATCCTCCAATCTAGATCTGTTTCAATGAAAGATAATGGATGAGTTTGACCAGGAACGTGATACTACTGATTCTAAGACTGGACGTTATGAGTTAGTACCAAATACATGAAGAAATCTTAAAGAATATCCTAAGCTAAGACACGGCCAAGATTAATAATATGCTGTTTTTTCTTAAGATACCATCAACCACCTCTGATTCCTTCAGCTTTGGTCACATCACTCACAAAGATCGCGATAAGTAGACACCTATAACTTCAGAGTATGAACTGTGACCATTTTCAATCCCAAAGAATAGACATTTAAGCCAGAGAAAGAAATGCAGTCTTGAAAACAAACTTACCAAGTTTTTGTTGAGTTTCCTGAATGATCAAGTCTGTGCCCTTCACAACCAGATTAGTCAGAGTGGTTTGAATCTTCTTTTTAGGAGCGACAGCTGCTGCACTGTAATAAAAAGTCACCCGCCCCCAAAGAAGATCACTAAACTTTAGTGATTTTCTAACTAACAGTTTGAAAATAACTGAATTCTTCTGATGATGTAAAGAAGGCACAGAAGAATTCTTTATTACAAATTGTTAGTTTTTCAAAGCAGTGGATAACTAGATTTGCTTGATACCATGGCTCTCAGTCGTAACTGGTATAAACGTTACATCACAGATGTGAAATAGCAATCAACAAATTTGAGGACATCTGGAAGGACAATTTGGCAAAAGAAATAAAAAACATGCCAACCCTTTGATCAAGCAGGCTAGGAATTTATCTTTGAATAATTAAAGACTATACAAAAACAGGATGTTCTCAGAAGCTTTGTTAAAAAAATGGAAACCCCATTTAGGTTTATCTATGGGGAAGTGTTTAAATAAATTATCATAGAGCCATGTAAAACAATACTATGTAGACACTAAAAATAATACAAGTAAATATTTGATAAGGAAAATAATTATTTTATGTTGAAAAGTATAGGTACAGTATGATCTCATTTTATATTACTAAAAATTTATACACATGGAAAAATAAAAACCACCTAGAAGCATATATACCAAGGAAGTAACACGTACATATATTTTTAATAATGCATATATATTGCTTTCCGCAATTTGAAAAAATACAGAAATTAGTTTAAATCTTAAAAATGTGTTTGCTATTACAAAACAGGCATAAGGTGAGAGCCCTCTTGCCTATTTCTGTTGGACTGGGAACAAAATCTAAGTTCTGTCCTTGGACCAACTATAGCTCCCTTGTACCAGCATGCCACTTGTCACATCCACAGGTGGCTTTCCAGAGTAGGGTACAAGGCCATTGATCACCTACTTTAGGGCCTCTATGGAGAGGCTGAGACCCCCAGAAGAGGCCAAGAAGACCTGCCGCCCACATTTTTGTGCGGGTACACTGCATGTCTGTTCACTGAATTAAAGTGGATTCCAAGAGGTTTGCAACTTCACTCCAATAGTTGTGAGGGAAACGATTTAAAGGATGTCAACACAATGATTGACCAAACAATCAGCCCTGATAAAGGCCCACTGTTCACGTTAGAACTCAAGCAAGAAGTGTGGGTTCTCTGTTAAAGACTATCCCGACATGACTTAATTTCTTCCCATTCTGTGGGTTTTCCTCTCTACCTGGAATAAAAGCCCTCATCTATCTTGTTCCAGGTGGTCAGTTATGAAAGATAATATCTGTACAGTCTTCTAAGACCACCACAGAAATGTACAACCACTGGGTTTATTCTTTACAAGCCAAGCAAGATCTTTGACCCAAAAGCAGCCCAAGAATGTCTTACATTGAGGCTGCATATGATGCTGAAGAAACCCCTCCGTAGTAAAAACTGTCCTGACACAGCCGCTCTCTCAGGCTGGTGCCTCTGCGGGCAAACTTCTTTGGAATTCGTCCTCCAGAGAAGGTGGACTGCAAGTCAGCTCGCTTGGCACTGAGCTTCTTGTACTGAGCTTGGATGTGATACTGACAGTACTCACAGTCCTTCTGTAAAACCAAAGAGAGGCTGCTTAGGATCAGGGTAATGGGCCAGGAAACAATATAAAGACACACGGTCCCTTCCTCCCAGTGTCACAGGGCACCACTCTGCATGCAGAGCCCTTCCTATTGGCCTCCAAGGCCATTTCCAAAGTGCTGCTATGCAGTGACTAAAGGAAAAGAAGTCTTCCCTCAAATTCCAATTAAAGCACTAGTCAGGTCAAAGAAAAAGTGATATAGTTCACTCCCTTTGCCCTCTTTCTACAATCGAAATAAAATCGGCTTTTAGGATAAACCTTGAAAACATTATGCTGAGAGAAGTCAGACACAAAAGGTCACATATTGTATGATTCCTCTTATATGTCTATATGACATATATAGAGCAGTAAGCCCACAGAGGCAGAAAGTGGATTAGAAGTCACCAGGAGATGCAGGTGGGGGAGATGAGAAGGGGTCACTTACTGGGTAAACTGTGCTTTTATCAAGCAATGACATGGTTTTAAAACTAGAGAGCTGGTGGGTTGCACAATAGAGTGAATATACTAAATATCACTAACATGTACGTTAAAAAATGGTTAATAGTTTTTTATGTGAATTTTACCTTTTACCTCAATAAAGTTAATTTAAGAAAAATAAAACAAAATCAGCTTCTAGTGAGATTTTTCTATTTGTCTGGTTGACTCTTGGACAACTGCTACTTCCTCAGTGTCAGGAACAAAGAGAAACTACTATTATTCTTTGGGGTGAGTCCTTAGATATGGTGACAATGAAGGTCTAGCTCTTATGTGGAGATCTCTAAGGTACTTCACTCTGAGACTTCTTTTTCCAACTATCTCCTTCCTTTCTATTTCCTGCTCACTAGTTCATCTGTTAGGCAGGAACGAGATGAAACCAAAACCTGTCATTTAATCCTTTCAAAGAGCTCTAAGATATACCACTTCTCACTCACTAGAATGGCCATAATCAAAGACAGACATTGACAAGTGTCGGCTATGTATGGAGAAACTGGAATCCTCACATACTTCTGGTGAAAATCTAAAAGCCACTTTGGAAACCAGTCTGGCAGTTCCTTAAAAACCTAAACATACAGTCACCGTATGACCCAGAAATTCCACTCCAGCTGTATACCCAATGGAATCAAATATAGCTACACAAAAGCTTACACATGAATGTTTATAGTAGCATTACACTTAATAACCAAGAGGTGGAAACAACCCAAATGTCTACTTACTGATGAAAAGATATGGTACGTCCATTCAACAATAAAAGGGAATAAAAAGGGAATGAAATGCTAATAAATGCTACACCATGGATGAACCTTGAAAATACTATGGTAAGTGAAAGAAACCAGGCACAAAATGCCACATATTGTACAATTCCATTATATGAAATGTCCAGAATATGCAAATCCATAGAGACAGACGGTAGATTAGATCTTACCAGGGCTGAGGAAGAGGGGGTGGGAGGTGACTGCTAATGGGTATGGTATTCTGAGGGGAATATTGAAAACATTCTGAAATTATATAGTGGTGAAATTTGCACAACTCTGAATTTATTAAAAATTACTGAACTGTACACTTTAAAAAAGTGAATTGTATGGTATGTGAATCATATTTCAATGAAGTTTTTTAAAAAAAGCTCTAAGAAAAAGTACAATGGAGTGAAAGTGTAGACTTAAATTCATTATAGTGTTTGATCTCTGGCACTACAAAGAATGGATAAAAGAATGGTTGGTGGGAGTTAAAAACTGAGGGCAAACTAAAATTGTTTCTTATATCTCCTAGTCAGCTGGCAATAAAAGACAACTTTCTTAAGAAGTTAAATCCTTCCCTTGCCCTCAGAGTTTTAAACAGGCAATTCTTAACCACACGTTTAATTTTCTTACTTTGATGCTTTCTGTTATGTAGGAAACCCAGTTCCAAAGTGGCCATTACACTAAAGTGTCTACAATTTATTCCCATTAGTTCCCTTCTTTAGCAGAAACCATCCTAACAAGGCTGAAACCAACCAAATTGACAATCTGTGTACACGGTTGTCCATTCTTTTTCTTTGCTTTACAGGTTCCCAGGTCAAGAGCTTCACCCATAATTAAGATCTTTTGAGGATGATCAATAGATAAGCACACCTGTAGAAAACAAGTGGAGTGGGAGTTAAAAGCAGACAAAGCTATAGCCAAGAATAAATAAAAGAATGGTTGGTGTGAATTAAGAAGGTTTTATCGGTCTAAAGGAATATGAAGCCAGTGCCTTACAAAAGTTTTAGAAATGAGAGGTGTAAAAGATGCATTTAGTTCTCTACTCAATATCCGTCCTGTGTCTTTGCTATCAGAATCTTGATTTTATTTGGGCCAGGAAACCCTGAGCATAAGATAATGGACCCTGTTTTCAGTTTTCCCAGCATTCCGTATAGTAAGCAAGTCATATGATTATATTCTGGCCTATGAGACTGAAGTAGGAGTTGGTAGGGAAGGTCACTAGGAAAGCTTTGCGTTCTTGATAAAAGCAGATAGAGGAGGCTGGCTCACTTTCTTCCTTTGAATGGAGATGTGATGGCAAGAGCTTCAAAGCCATCTTGTGACCAAGAAGAAAAGGCTGAGATTTACAGACTCTGGCCCTGACATCACTACATTTCCTATGTCTGAATTTTTTTATTATGTAAGAAAAACAAACCCCACTGTTTACTGTTAAAAGAGTCTACAGTGAAGTTTTTCTGTTACTTGTAGCCAAACACATTGGAATCAATAGGTGAAGATTTGCTACAATTCTCTGATAAAAACAAAGAAAGAAAAAACTTTGTCTTTCACTCTTTCTGACAGTAATGTGTCTACAACAAAGTGAAGCTTCTTGCTGGGTCAGATAAAGAAATGTGTCTTTCACTCTTTCTGACAGTAATGTGTCTACAATAAAGTGAAGCTTCTTGCTGGGTCAGATAGAGAAATGGTCTGTCCCATTCACACTTAGATTTACA